TATAGTGAAATTCATCTTCAATTTCTCACAATTTCTTGAGATGAAAAGATATATTTAAAATCCCCCACTCTCAATAGGTAATTCCTGACTATCGTTTCTAAATTTGCTTAAACTGTTAACAAGACCATATGGTTAAAAAAGAAATATTTTTACTAGGCCAAAGACAGCTTTGTAAATTCTATTATTAACACATTTAACAGAATTAAACATGTGCAATTTCCACTCTGATATAAATAACATGTTTAGCAGAAACGAAGATGAATATCACACCCGACACTTTATATACTACTTAAGAGTCGCCCGCGTGGCGCAGTGGTTAGAGCGTTCGCCCTAGAGTCGCGGAGTAAGGAGATGATCCTTAGGTCGCAGGTTCGAATCCCACTGTGGGACGTGGAGACCGGTCCTTCGGATGAGACCGTATAAACCGAGGTCCCGTGTCGCAGTAGGTGCTGGCACGAAAAAGATCCCTCACTGCTCAATGGCCCTAAGTGCCGAGTATAGGTCAAAATTTGCAGATCTCCACCGGCAAGTGGTGGCGTCTCCATATGAGTGAAAAATTCTCGAGAGGTACGTTAAACAATAAACAAACAAACAAACATATTCTACTTAAGCTGGGCTACCCCGAGCTCGACTCCCGAAAATGTTCTTTTTCGTAAAATAAATGCGTCTTCTTCGTGTACCGGATTATATGCTTATTTTTCTTTTATAGTTATATCTTTTTTTTTAATGAATTGAATATTTTGAGAAACCGCTGCCATAAAATTCTTTGTAATGCACTGGGCATTAACAGCATTTGCATACCTATAATCCGTTCTTTACAGTAAAACAATGAATATTCTGAAATTAACCACTACTTTAAATGTTAAACCTTTCTCAAAGTCTTGGCTAAACAGACATGTTTATAAAATGATTATGCCAGAAGACTCATGGATAATGAAGCGTTGTAGTCAACGAAATCTCAGCAGAAAATGTGCATTTGTACACAATACACAACTCTGCTTCGTCATATAGTACAGGTCAGTGGCGGATCCAGGAATCTTGAAAAGGGGGGGGGGATTTTGAGGTCGGGGTTTATTAAATCTTATGTATATTTTGGACACAAGGGGGGGGGGGGGGGGCTCTCGATTCGCCAGTGCAGGCAGAGAATTTAGACTATAAAACTCCAAAAGGCTTTATAGTTATCTGGATGTTTCCATACACCCTTAATGACGTAGGAAATCATTTTTCGTATACAGTAAAACAAGCTTATAACAAACACGCTTATAATGAATTCACGCTTACAGTGAAGTAGTTTTCAATCCCGGTAGTATTAAACGTATTGTAATCTTAACGGTTATATCGAATTAGGTTTATAACGAATCAAAATTGCACGTCCCTCGCACTTCGTTTTAATCGAGTTTTACTGTATTAGTACTTTATCCCAAACTTAATATTCAAATTTTTCTAAGGGTTTTCTTGATCTTATAAACACTTTTATCAACATTTTATGCAATTTTTTGAAAAAATCGTTTTCGTTAAAAACAAAATTAAAAGGGAAAAGGGTTATCTAATATTTTTTTGCTTGTTTGTTGGGGGCTAAATTCTGGATTCATGGATAATTCTTTTTAAGGTTTAGGAATAGTGTGCATTTTACTAATTATAACTGGTCGTATATTAGTGATTCTTATAATATTTGCTCGCCTATAATGTAAACACTTTGCTGGTTGAAGCTCAGAATGCTGATGATTTCAAATGCTGATTGATTTCCATTGTATGTTGATACTGGCTTATGCAACAGAAAATGGTTTCTGTTCACATGCATTGTGTATTCAATTTTCAAGTCTAATTTCTAAAATAAAGCATCCTTATCAAATGGGACAAGTTATGTTAGTGAAGCTCCTACAAGTTGTTCAGATGACACTGAAATTAACAGATCTGTTAACCCAAATTGTTGTCTCTCAGTATTTTTCATTAGATTTGTCAGTGAAATTTGGCTTTTGCCCGTAAGATTTCACTTTTCATCGACTGAACATATATTACTAGAAATCAACTACATTTCTGATTACCAAAACATGGTTTAATAACAAAGCAAAACGTTATACACTGCTCTCTTTTGAGTGATTTCTGTCATTTTTTTAAACCACCGCGTTTCGGCAACTTAAATGTTTGAAAACTTTCTCTTCTTTAGCGATTAAAAAGCGTCTAACTGAGACAGATAACGAAAACTAATTGCTAAAATCCATATGAACGGATTTCCGTATTTTCGTTATAGCAAAACGTAAGACGTATTTTGGACTGAAAATCCGTACAAAATACGGCGAAATCGTAAGAGTAAACAGGTCTGAATTAACCTTTGGAACTCGTAGGTATTTGTTTTTCTTGGATTTTATCACAATAATACATTGTTTGTAAAACTATAAATTGAACAAAGACACAATCATTTTACGCAAAACAGTAACTTCTTTTTTCCTACTTAGTAGTTTTAGGTGTGGAAAAAACCCACAAACACACATGAACACTTTTGCACGATGATTTTGCGGCAGATCCTCCCAAAAATAAGGCGGCGATAAAAAGCAAATAAACGTTGATCTCGACGCCATTATTGTACCACGTGACCTACACGTCCATGATCGTACGTGCATTTGTTTTTATGTTTTGTAGCAAAGAGAGGGATAATTATGCATCTAGGACTACGGCATTCACTGTTATTTTTAGTAATTCAGGTAATATATTATTTTTTTTTTATTTCGGACAACTAAAATCCAAATAGTTTTTGATTGAAAATAATTGATTATACCAACACTGTTTGATTTTTTTAAAATTATATTTCTAAAACCGTCATGGCTTATCATTTCAGGCATATAACATATAAGATATATCTTTTCAATAAATACTTTTACTAAGTATTTTAGTTTTATCAAAGATATTGTTTCTAAATAACATGGAACTTTGTTTGATTTATGAATGACAGCAGAACTTGGAGGTGGCTTCTGAATTCTAATGAATTTTATAAAGCTACGTCTTATTATTATGTTGAACCTACATTCAGCTTGTTAATGCTATAAATATCAGGAATAATTCATATATTCTAGCTACAAAAGCACAGAAAAATCAATGATGAAAGTAAATTGCATTTACTTTCTCTAATCTTACGAAGTACATGTATTTGTATTCATTAAAACTTGACATGAAAAAATGCAATTATTTTCACCGAAAATTACTATATTATTACTTTATGCATATGGTAAGGTATAGGTATTTTTTAAAGTTAAACAAGAGTAATTGAAAGGTAGAAATTTTATGTAACTAAATTTCATACTGGATGCACTTAACCAAGTTAAAGATTATGGCAGAAAAAATATCATTTAAATACAAATTACCTACATTAATAATTTGCAACATTAGTTATCTGAAGTGATTAATTTAGATTTTTTTTTTTTATTTTAGTATATTTTTATATTATTTTATGGACTTTAACTTTTTTTACAACGAGGGGTTAATTAACATTTAATTCATTTCATTTCATATTTCATTTAATTTACCAAATATAATATTGCAATTTTCTTCTACAAAGACCCGCTTTTCAGCTGAAATCTTGAACATAGAACTCTACGTAATATAGTTTTGACCCTGGGGATTCTTTTTCAATAACATCGTTCTGTAATCCATCCACCAGCTTAGAACGACCAATGACATTCCGTGGTAAAATATAACAATTTGATCGGCCATCGTAAACTGGTTCTATAACAATATCTTCTGTCAAAGTTTATGTCCGTCGCTTGTAAACTAGTCCTCCTCCGCACATTGATCATTTTTTTTATACTTGTACAAGTGACTGTAAGTTTTAGCCACGAAGGCGTGGAGAAAAATTACGGCTGCAAATTTTCCGCTCCTTATTTAATGAAGCAGTTTTAATTATTTTAAATATAATTTGACGTGTTTCAGTATAAAAATACTAGAATCAACGTTTTCTTATGTCATAAATGAATAAATGATATTAATAAAATATTTCATTATTCCATATAAATATTTTAACTATTATATTTGTGGGCGCTGGTTCCGAATAAGTAGGACAAAGTGGTACGACTTCCATTGAAAACGATCGGGGCTGTCAATATTGATATTCTCTGACCACAGTCCAAAGCTGTAAATCAAACGGAACGTGATTTTTCGCACGCGCTTCTGCAATGGCAAATCACTTAAGGCTATTAGTTGACAACCGAGGTTAGGCAATGTGTATAAACAAACTACGATTACTGGTGACTTCGATCCCGACATATATTAACACATATTTACCTTTTTTTGTAATTCTGGGATCATTTCCTTTATAATCTGAATCATTTTTTCCTGATCCTATAATAATTTTTTCAGTCGTCCTTTTATGGAAGAAATTCAGATAAAAGGTTAAATGAATGTTTTTATTTTAAGGTGGTATGTGCCAATTTGATAAGGGAAATAACTCTAATTTGATCGCAGTTTGTTTTCAGCCTTAATTTAATTTAAGGCAACACTGAAAAATGCCATATTTTCAATCATTTCCAGCTAAAACTGCAGGGTAATGTATTACTTGTAACCGTAAAAAGGAATCAAATAGTGATCGACTCAATGACATATTTTTCTTGCCCTGTCAATATTTTTAGAATATATATGAATCAGTTATATTGATTTCAAAGACGACATTGTGCATAGAAGTTGGTTCTTTAACTAGAGATTATAGGCATACAGGGTACAAAAATGTCCATTTAAAAAAAAATAATCAAATAATGATCGAATAAATTTTTCTACTACTTCGTCATAGAATATATGAATCAGTGTTAGACAAAATTGTGCTTAAAAGCTTGTGCTTTAACTAAAAATTAAAGATACACAGGCTGGCAAAAATCCATATTTTAAAAAAAAGTTTTTGAATCGGAAAAAAACCCACGCATGTTCAACATGCTCAATAGGTGGTTAAAACAAACTGATTTTATTCATATGATAGAAACATCTTTCATTTGAATAGAGATATGTACAATCTATGAATGGTTGTAAGTTTGTAGCGATGTCAAACAGCTGTTCAGCATGTCATATTTACGGTTCATTGGTGTACACATATAACTATATAAATCTGGCCCAAGTACAGTGTACCTTTTACACACTGGTATTTTACATCTAGTAACAGGCGCAAATCAGAACAAGGATTTAAGATGACCATTGGGAGGTCATAACCCCCTCTTTAACTTACAGAAAAATGAACAAAAATGAAATAAAAATATACCACGATGATGGAATTTCCTGACACCTTACTGTTTTCAGGCAATATGTCTGGGTTTTTTTTACACTTTCCGGTGTGTCTCGCGTGAAGCTTTTTTGAAATATTTTTATAGCGAGATTTTCTGTATTGCAGAGAAATCAAATATTTTTCATTGTTCTGCGAAAAAAAAAAATCGGGAATGTTCTCATTTCCTTAAAAAAGTTTTTATTTTTATTTATACCTTTAAATTCATACATTTTGAAAATTCAGCATTGATGTTAAAATTTACTAGGAAATAGCAATGCCCTACCTACAGTGTACATGTACCAACCGACCCAATTTTTTTACCCTGAGTCAGGAGAGGGCAAACAAACATTTTTTTTTTTGAAATGGTCTGAGAATTACCAGACAAGGTCTATATATGCATTAATCTACACAAATCAAAAGTCAGTTAATAAATATTGAAGAACATTCAAACTGGTCTTTTTTCAAAAAAAAAAAAAAAAAAAAAAAAAAAAAACTTCTTCAATGAGGTTAATATCATCCTGTGACGTATTAATTGCCGCTGCAGTGGAACTGGCCCCAGGTCAATATTATTTCAAATTGCATGAAAAAGGGTACATCCTCAAGACATTGCCTTAAGGCTAATCATTTAATAATCAGTGTAAGCAATCGATAAAAAAGATAAAATACTAGAGTCTAGTTATTTATTTGTTTATCATATTTATCACAAGTGACAAAAAGTACTCTGATTCTTAATCAAAAACGATGCAAATACCAACTTCTTACACAAGATCGAGGGAGGGATGCGGGTTTTTCGTACTGCAATACTTAGTGGGACTGACTCGAGTTCTTAGATCTCTCTTTTACAGCTTTTTACTGATGGAGTGCTAACACAAGATTTTGGAGGCGGTGGAGCTTTCGGCGGAAATGGCGGACTGGTAGGAAATGGAGGAATAGGTCAACGTTTTAACACTGGACTAGGAGGAAATGGCGGAATAGGTGGAGTAGGCGGAAATCCGGGAGGAGTTGCAATAGGAACTACTTTTCCGGATAACACAATAGATAACACAAACACATTTGTAGACGCCACTCCTCCAGACGGATTAGATCAAGGTAATGGTTAAAATCTCTCTGGTATAGGGCACTCTAAACTACAGTTTTGGTATATGGGAGTGGTGGCACGACCAATCGAACAGTCAGACATTATTATTGCATAGTATGAACAGTCAAAATTATTGTAAGAAGGAACATGGCAAGCAATGCCGACTGAAGAAAGTTAAGTTGAATGGGTGAAGCATAATAGAAATACTAGGACATCTTTGGAATCATGTCACTAGTAGTTTATGACTGGTTACTGGTTTTTTTTTTTTTTTTAATTCTTACTGTTTAAGAAAAGGGAAAGAAAGAGAGTGATTAAAGTATTGACGAAAGAAAGGAAAATACATCGAAAAGGGCTATAAATGACAAATTTGCGTTTCATTTTTCAATTTATTTTAGGTAGACAAGGATTTTGCTATTTACCAAGACTACCCGGAAATTGCCGAGGGAGATTCCTAAGTTATTATTATGACGCCATTACTAGAAGGTGTCGTGCATTCTTCTATTCCGGTTGCCAGGGAAACGAGAATAGATTCCCCAGCAGACAAGAATGCCAACAAATTTGCGGCAATGGTGGGATTGGTATGTATATCAAAGCTTCAAGGTCAATTCAAGGACATCAAAGGCTTTTTCTAATATGTTTCAAGGTGTGTGCTACATTTAGGGTGAGATCCGTCCCTTTACCACATGGTACTATGGTAAAGGTTAAAGGTCGGACGCACTCAATTTAGACTTTACTGCGAGTCTTAATGGTGTAAATTTTTATCAATCATTTTATATTTTCCTGAAGCTATCTGCAAGAACCAAATCTTATATATTCGTCTATATGGTTTCTATGATTAACCTCTTCCGTCTTCAGCGAAAGACCTTCTCTATGTTCTTGTTATTCTTAGGTTTCTTTCCCACTGTTTTATTATCACTAGACATAGACCCGTGCACCCACGGGTTAGCATGGGTTAAAGAAGATGTAAATCTAATGACCAAGTTTTTTATCAAAGTCAATGGAGATTATATTTCAAGTATTTAAGAAAAACAAAACAATGATCATTATTAAGCAGGTATTTTTGGTGATTTTTTTTTTGGAGGGGGGGGGGGGGATTCGAAGTTATATATTGTATACTTAAATCGTACATACGTATACATGATGCTAATTTTAAGTGTACGTGGAACGATATCTTCATCATAGTTTTAATTTACAATTCAAACACTTTTGAGCACCCCTCCCCTCCCCTTCCTCCCCCCAAAAATCAAACATGATGCACAGTTATAATAATTACACCTGTACATTTATTGAATGGGTTCGAGTGCAACATGCGTTTTATTCCCATACCAAGATCCAAACTGCCCTGAGGCCGAAGACAGCCCGAGAACCTTTATTTAATATTATGACGTATCTTGTACTGGCCTGCAAATTTCGATAAAGATGACAAATTTTTATATAAATTTCTTTCAATTTCTTTTTTGTTCTTTTATTAAAGAAAACCCAGAATCTTTGGAGGATTAACAAATTTCTTGGATACTTATATTAATGTGCTTATGGTTCTGTAAATTAAATCATTGCCCCGTTATTTGTATGTTTACGTAGGAATTAAAAAAAAAAACAAGAAAAATATTTAGATATAGATATATTTGAATGGTTTACAACTTAAAATAAATTGGATTTAGACATGTTTTTTAAATCATCTTTAATCCGCTTAATAGAAAATATAATGCATCCTACAGGAAACTATTGTACTCAAGTAATATCCAAAAAGGAAAAGTTTGCAATGACAAGAAATAATGATGTTCAGACAAAAAATATAAATTACGTTACCGTACATTTATTTTGAAATCGTTTTTGTTAATAATTATATTTTAGCCATTTTCTTTTTAGTGGGTGATGTCTGTACACTTCCACCCGTTACTGGACCATGTCGTGCAAGCATGCGCCGCTTCTTCTATAATTCTGCTCTTGGGCAATGTGAGCCTTTCCGGTATGGTGGTTGTCAAGGCAACAGAAACAACTTCCAAACTTTCCAAGCGTGTCAGCAGAGATGTGGTGGAGGTGGCGGGGGCGGGGGTGGTGGTGACGGGGGCGTCTTTCCACCAGGTAATATCACCAAACACCTTTTGGTTCATAATGCATCGTGCAACATACTGTTTAATGTAAAGCGTAACTTATAAGAATGATATACACAATATGATATTAAATGTGCTTATTGCAATCAACAAGTCATAAATGCCAGCTATGTAGAACATTGTGGACGTGTGGGGTTCGTTTAGACCGAGATACCATGATCGAACAAGAAGTTAAGCAATACAAATAAACAACTAGTAGACTAATTGTTCTTGAACAATTAGAGGTCTTTCCACCTTCTTTAAATTTCATATATTCTTCACATTTAACTCTCTACTGCTTATTTTTATACAAAAGAAACCAGAAATGGCTTGAGAGATGGAAAAAATGATAATTTTAAAAATTTTTGAAATGACCTTGACCTTTGACCTTGAACAAATATTCAAGGTCAAAGGTCAAGGGTCACATTGCAATTAACCCCATGCTTCTACGACTTTAAGTTTTAAAGTTATAAGGTTTACTAGTAAGCGCAAAGACATTAAAGGGCGATAACTCATATAAGGGGTCACCGGATACTTTCGCACTGAATAGATTAAAGTTGTGCCTAAAGACCCTGAATACATTAATGAAGGTTTTGTGTCTCTGCGGTTTACGGTTTCGGAGGAGTTGCGATAACAAGGTTTTTTGCACAAGGGGAAATAACTTTTAAAAGGTTTAAGCTTAGGGGACAAGATTGAAATCGTTGAAATAGTTTTAAAAGTACATATAAAAGATGCAAAGATATACTGTATATGTTGAAAGACAAAAAAGCTCTAAAAAGAGCTTTATTTCTCATATTTGGAGTGACCTTGACCTTTGACCTTGACATAATCTTCAAGGTGTAGGGTTAAAGAATCTAATGCAGTTGGTTTCATGTCTCTATGACTTATCGTTTTGAAAATTTTTCATTATTTGTAAACTTCAAAAACTTTCAGGGGCAATAACTCATAAAAGGGCTCAACAAATCCTTTTGTAATGAATAGATTGAAGAGTCTTCTCAATTAGTCGAAGACATTGGTGAAGGTTTCGTAACTCTACGGTTTACGGTTTCGGAGGAGTAGCGATAACAAGGTTTCTAGTGAAAGGGGCAATAACTGCGAAAGGGGTCATAGGTTATACGCGTTGGGTCAAATTTGTTCATAACTTTTTATGACCTTTACGATGAACAAAAAGTCTTTTCGATAAATGTCGAAACAAAAAATCAGCGGAAGAAAAATAAGAAGAAGAAGAAGAAGAAGAAGAAGAATAAACAGAAGAAAATCAATAGGTCTTTCCACAGAAAGGTGGAAAGACCTAAATATCAGTGTGAATAGCCTAATCTTTCTACGTGCGCAGAACAAGGATTTTTTTTTTTTTTCGGGGAGGTGGGGGATTCCAGACCAACAACAAAATCTGACTCTTAAATTTTAAACCCTCAAAAACAAAACAAAAAAAACATACACCTTTATAACTTTTTTACCATATTACCAGGGTCCTTTTTTAACGAGGTTCAAGGTCATTTTTGAGTTACTTTACTGTATATTTTTAATAAATCTGAAAATTTTCGGGGGTATGGTGGGGTGTTACTGATTCTCTCTAGATCCCTCCAGGTTAGTGTACAAGTTCTGAAAGGAGTGTATAGACCGCCTTGGTTGTCAATTTCAGGAAGTCCATGCCTCTTGCAGCATGCGCAGTCAGGAAATTGCTTGGGATTTTTTCCTTCGTGGACGTATAATTCCAACACAGGGCGATGCCAGGAATTCGTCTATGGTGGATGTGGAGGAAACCGGAACCGCTTTAACACACTAATGGAATGTCGCCGTGTGTGTGATAGAAATGACGGTGGCGGATTTGTTCCCGGTTAGTATTGTTATTCTCAAAGATGGTGATATTCCATTACCGTTAATTTCTATCACGAGTTGTAGTTCCTTATGCATGCATGCACCTCAAACGGTGTCTATTCATAGAGGAACAATTGTCTATTTTTTGTTGAATATCAAGTTAAAATCGATCAAATGATAGTTCCGGAATTTATGATGAGTTCATCAAATACATGATCTAAGCATCGCTGTGGAAAAAAAACATCCCCCCCTCCCATTGTGTTTCTTTTGGTACTACGATTCTATATTTGGTAACATATTCAGTGAAAATTATGTTCAATTCAGTGAAAAAAAAAAAAACAACTTAAAAAGGCATTTTAGGGCAGATTATAGCTTATATTGTGACCAACCTGACTCGCATTAAAGAAACCATTTCCCCGGCTGTATCAATGATGTTATTATATGATAGTTTGACCATTTTAAATTGATCTTTTAAGTTCCGTACCGGTGAAACCGGAGGGGAGTATAGCTTTTCTCTTCGTCTACCACGGTCTGATTAGCTGTCCCTCTGTCTTTCAGTCAGTTTGTACTATTGTGGTTTTCAGAACTTTTTTTTTCTACACTCTTGCAGATATTGAGCTGGATTTGGTATATGAGTTTATCATGTTGAGCCGCTTCGATTTCTGGTGGAATTATGACCTTTTTAATATTTACTGGAAACTTGACAAAACTTCAGTTGCTGAAAGGGAGCTAGTATTGCTTATTCACAATGCTTATGTATTTCAGGGATGTGTCGATTGCCTGGTGACTCTGGTCCATGTCGGGCATTCATTCCACGCTGGAGCTGGAGTATGGCGAACGGTCAGTGTGAAAGATTTATCTACGGAGGCTGCGCAGGAAACGGAAATAACTTCATAACCCGGCAGCAGTGTGAGGACACCTGTGGTAACGCTGGAGGAGGAGGAGGTATCAGCATTTTGTTTTTACCTGGTACAGGCCCGTAGAACGCACCCCCACTTTTTTCTGAGTATAGTATTTTGCTATACTAAATTTTAAAGATGCTGCTTGCCCCCTCCCCTCCCCCTCAATTTTGATGTTGTGAGGTCGAGCACTTGCAAATTCCAGAATTAGGACAGTAAATTAGCCTTTTTTGCTTGTCAGATTGGACCCCTTACTTTTGAAACCGTTGCTACGGGCCTTTGGTATAAATTAAAATCTAGTTTATCATATTTGAAAGAAAAAGAGGGGTATACATATGTGTTTCAATAAGCATACTATTTAATTGAGACTACCTTAATTTAACAGCACGAGGAAGCATTTTCTTATATTTTTGAAAGAGAGTTCAATATCTTTAATAATATTTATGACTATGTACAAGTATCCATGTTAATAAAAGCATGTACCTGTTTTACCGCCAAGTATTCGCAGACATGTAAACTTCTTTGTCAGTAAATTGAATTTAAACTACGTAAGATATAAGGGGGAAGGGGAATATCGTTTTACCAATTTCTTAAAAAATTACAGCCTGAGCACAAGTTGAAATTATTTGTAAACCTTATTTTAACCCCTTCTACACTGAAGCCTTTATTTTGTCCATAGAGTAATAAATACTTTAATATTTTATAATAATAATAATATTATAATATTTTATGATAATACTTAGGGCGAATTTGATTGTTTTACTGTTATTAATTTCAGGAGTTGTAAATCGTGTTTGTATCTTACCGGAAGTAACAGGGCCATGTAGGGCGAGCATTCCTAGGTGGCACTTTAACCAGGCAACGAGAAGATGCGAGAGATTCATATATGGGGGTTGCCAAGGCAATGAAAACAATTTTAATACCTGGGGACAGTGTCAACGTGTATGTGGTCAAAGAGCTGGATAGATGGCGCTTTTACAATTATAATGCCATATTATAGTTTTGATTAATCGGATGATTCATGTTTTAGAGCCACGTCATATTTTGCAGAAGTAGGTTTTCATATAGTTTGGAATCAATTGAAATGGTTAAGTTGATTGAATCAATCTTTCATTTTTCATACTGTTGAATAAATAAAGTCTTCCATCAACTTTTGTGTTTGCGATTTTTTTTTTCCTGCAGTGTATCAAAGGACTTGATAGTTATGTTCCCCAAACGAAGTTTGGGAACATATTGTTTTTACTCTGTTTCTTATTATTATTATTATTAAGTCTTCCGTTCACAACGGAAGACTTATAGTGATTGTATTGTTTCTTTTTATTATTATTAAGTCTTCCGTTCACAACGGAAGACTTATAGTGATTGTATTGTTTCTTTTTATTATTAAGTCTTCCGTTCACAACGGAAGACTTATAGTGTTTGTATTGTTTCTTTTTATTATTAAGTCTTCCGTTCACAACGGAAGACTTATAGTGATTGTATTGTTTCTTTTTATTAGGTCTTCCGTTCACAACGGAAGACCTATAGTGATTGTATTGTTTCTTTTTATTATTATTATTATTATTCCTCCCAAATTTTGTGAGCGCGATTACTCAGAGATGTTTCAATAGATTTTAACAATTTTTCACTGGATAATAGGTTGATTCGTGAAGTTTATATAAAATTCCGTTTTTTGAAAAATTCACTTCCGGTCCGAAGTTACGGCCGTATTTCAAATTTTAAAATGCACTTTTGTCCGGTGTTTTTCTCAGAAGCGGTTTGATGTAAAGATGTGAAATTCACAGGAATATTAGATCATGACATTCTCTTTGTTTCTACGTGTTTTTTGTTTGTTTCCGGCACTTTCTGTCCAAACCGGAAGTGAATTTGTGTTTCGGTCAATTTTTTACTTTTTTTGTTTTTTAATATTTTTTCAAGATATTGTTAGACATAACAGAGATAGGTCCATAAGTGCCAAATATATAATTTGTTTTGAAATCAGATCACCCGTTTTGTAGATTTCAGCTACTTTCGTTTTGCTTAAAAAAATCAAAGTACTGAAAGTACTGAAAGGGCATTTCTTACTTAAACTTACATGAAGGTTATGTTTACGTTTCTCTGCATGCAAAAACCAATACATACAGTATCATTTATAAAGAATGAAGACTACATTTAATTGCAATAAAAATCAAAGTACCTGAAGTACTGAGAGGACTGTTTTAGATACCCACCTTTTTCTAACTACAGGCGTGTTTTCTGTACATAAAAATCAATGCGTACAATAAGCTACCTATGGAAGCTATTTTCATTAGCCAAAAAAAATCAAAGTACCGTAATTACTGAAATATATTTACTATTCTTATTTACTTTGACTTATATATAGATGTTTCTCTAAAAGCAAAATTCAGTTCAAACACTGCATGTATTATAATTTGTCATGTTTATATATAAGGACGGTGGATACTATCATTTTTGTAGTGAAAATCAAAGTACTATAAGAAGTGACAGGTTGTTTTCTCGATATCCCCCCATTTAACTTTTAAATTTAAAAATAGTTTAGATATGTTTCTACTAATGAAAAAAAAACATGCATACAATATCATATATAAGGACAACAGATACATTCATTTTTGCAGTAAAAATCAATGGACTGCAAGTACCGAAAGGACAAATTTTAGATTCTTTACAACTTAATTATTACAGACTGTACACGTTTCTCTACGAAAAAAATAAAAACAAAAAAACAAAACAAAACAATGTAAACGGTATCATATAGGAACGGAAGACCTTTTTGTTGCCATGGCAACAAGAGTCTAGTTATTATTATTATTCCTCCCAAATTTTGTGAGCGCGATTACTCAGAGATGGTTGGATAGATTTTCACAATTTTTCACATGATAGTAGGCTGATGTATGAAGTTTATATAAAATTCCGTTTTTTGAAAAATTCACTTCCGGTCCGAAGTTACGGCCGAATTTCCAATTTTTAAATGGACTTTTGTCCGGAATTTTTCTCGGAAACGGTTTGAGGTAAAGATGTGAAATTTACAGGAGTATTAGATCATGACATTCTCTTTGTTTTGAAGTTGTTTTCGTGTGTTTCCGGTACTTCCTGTCCGAACCGGAAGTGAACTTGTGTTTGGTAAATTTTCAACTTTTTTGATTTTTAATATTTTTTCAAGATATTATTATGTATAACAGAGGTTATTCTACAAATACTAAATATATAATTTGTTTTGAAATCAGATTCCACATTTTGCAGATTTTCGGTACCGTCATTTCCCCTATTTACCTAGTGTGTAAACAATGGGCAAAGAAAGATAACTCTGACTTGTAAGTGAGAATAGAACTTTCGAGATAAAGGCGGAAATAGTATCGATGACATCAGAGACATATACACTCTCCACTCTCCATATCAAAATATTTAGACGTTCCATGTTCACTCTTCTAAATGTAAGAGTACGTTGGTTACCGCTTCCAGTGCATGTATAGTTTAAAGTTGCCAGTGTAGTGTAAGTCTGTATATTGACAGTTAACTGATTTACACATGAATATATTTAAAAAAAAAATTAATATATATGCTAGGTAGCTAATTCAAGTAAATATATTATAAGCGCTGAATATACATTTATAGTGATGGACAGGCATGCAGTTTTATCTATCTCGTATAGTAAGTTCAGAATACGATAGTTATAAGCCTTCTATAATGCAGACGATTTATTATTCTCTATGATTTGAATGCAAAATTATCCCGATTTCCGAGTTTTATTTTCGATATTAAAAAATATTACATACACTCAAAAAGGAATTGAGCGATAGAAAATTGTAATACAGTACCGTTTTAAAGCCTTCAATAAATAAATTGACATCTGCCACTTAAAAGAAAGAAAATCAATCTATAGATTAGATTTGGTTATTACATGTATATTTGATAAAAAGTTTAATTATTTATGACACATGATCTATACTCTATATACCCAAGGAGTTATAAAAGATGTGAAAAGACGATTCTTGGATTCTTGTGAAATACTCAAAGAGTTAAAAAAAAAAATATGTGAAAACGCGATTCTGTGTGAAATAATGGTACGCTATATGTTTCTTTTGAAAAAAAAAAAACATGATAAAAAAATTGCACAGGTCTGTTGATATGTGGGATAAGTATACCTGAATGAGCACAATTTTATGCAATGATATATAATTATATACATGCAACTGACGTCCCTACTTTTCCTTATAATTCATAAAACATAAAACTATCTAATTCCTTTGACCCCCCACCCCCGGTCTTGATTAATATTTGGAGACGTTCGTGCAGCTAGGCATTTGAATTATATATTCGTTTTAGATTTAAATCTGGAACGTGGTTATAATTACCATTTACATGTCATGTGTACAGAATTTCATATTCTATAATGGTACATTTGTCATTATGATACTGAAATGTTCAATTTACATGTCTGTGTGTGTGAGAGAGAGAGAGAGAAAGAGAGAGAGAGAGAGATTCCCTCTTAATCCCGATCCTCCTATCCATTTACATAGACCAAAATATTTTTCTATATCAGTCACACCCATTCTTTATTAAATGTTTTCTGATTTCACAGTCAGTCATGGTCACATCCTGTATATTTTTCTGCTTAAAAAGTATCGCACGAAGTGCACTTGTGTTGACCTGTCAATCAAAATCACTTGACGCTCTATGCAGTGCAATAAAGTAGCCTGAGTTAGAAATGATCTTGAAGTATGATCTTTAAGTAAATCTGATGCAACAAACTTGTGAAAATATAAAATAAAATAAAAAATAAAACATCTCGGTATTATGAACTTCGATTGTGGGACGTGGAGACCGGTCCTTTGAGATCGCATAAATCGAGGTCCTGTGTCGCAGAAGGTGCTGGCACAAAAAAGATTCCTCACTGCTCAATGGCGAAAAGTGCCAAAGTATAGGACAAAAATTTTAAATCTCCACCGGCGAGTAGTGGCGTCTCCATGTGTGTGAAAAATTCTCGAGAGGGACGTTAAACAACATATGATCAATCAATCAATCGATTGCTGAAGAATTACTGTAACTGAATAATCTTTCTTATAGGTATGCTTTCAAATCTTGATATTATAACTTTACAAAACTCAGTGACTTTACGTTTAATGTGATACTAACTTAATTCATTATATTTTTTTTTTATAATACCATCACAATTATGCCAGAACATATACACAGTGAAGTTTATGATAGTACGGTGTTTGTTCGTCTGTTTGTTTGTCTTAGAAATGATTGCAAACATTTTTTTTTAATTGCTAATTATCCTTGCTCTATGATATTCGTATATCTCTTATAGGTGCCAAACGCAGTATACAAGATTGATCATGAAAATCAAAGTACCTTAAGTACTGAAAGGACTTTTTTCCAGTTATTTTTTTCTTTCACAGTAAATATGATATGTATGTTTTTTACACAGAAAAAAAGCAAATTCTTACAGATTTAGAACGGAAGACTTTTTGTTGCCATGGCAACAAGAGTCTAGTTATTATTATTATTCCTCCCAAATTTTGTGAGCGCGATTACTCAGAGATGGTTGGATAGATTTTCACAATTTTTCACATGATAGTGGGCTGATATATGAAGTTTATATAAATATATATAATTTTTTGAAAAATTCACTTCCGGTCCGAAGTTACGGCCGAATTTCCAATTTTTAAATGGACTTTTGTCCGGAATTTTTCTCGGAAACGGTTTGAGGTAAAGATGTGAAATTTACAGGAGTATTAGATCATGACATTCTCTTTGTTTCGAAGTTGTTTTCGTGTGTTTCCGGTACTTCCTGTCCGAACCGGAAGTGAATTTGTGTTTGGTAAATTTTCAACTTTTTTGTTTTTTAATATTTTTTCAAGATATTATTATGTATAACAGAGGTTATTCTACAAATACTAAATATATAATTTGTTTTAAAATTGGATTGCGCATTTTCTAGATTTTAGGTACCGTCATTTTCC